CCCTAAACCCTTAAACCGTAAGCCCTTGGACTCCTAAACCTCTTGCCTCCGAAGCACCTAAACTTCCTTCAACCCTAAATCCCTCCCTGCCAAAGCCCTGCGCCCCTTAAAGGGCCCCCGAATCCGAGGGTTTAGGGTTTAGGGTTTAGGGTTTAGGGTTTAGGGTTTAGGGTTTAGGGAAGCCCGAAAGGTACCGCCATCATCCTGAAACCCTAAACCCTATACACTCTATTATTCACCCAGTATGGTGTCTAGTCAACCTTTAAAGGTACCGCCATCATCCTTAAGCCCTAAATCCTAAAGCCTAAACCCTAAGCCCTTCAGCCCTTTGAAGGTACCGCCATCATCCTTATTATGTACTATACATCCCCATTATGGTACCCAGGAAACCCTAAACCCCTTACCGCCAAGCCCTAAACCCAGTAAACCTTTAAAGGTACCGCCATCATCCCTGTTATTTGCTATATATCCCATTACGGTACCCAAAAAACCTTTAAAGGTAATTATGTAGGCCCCTACATTAAGCCCTTCAGCCCCTTAAGAGGTACCGCCATCATCCTTAAACCCTAAACCCTAAACCCTAAACCCTAAACCCTAAACCCTAAACCCTAAACCCTAAACCCTAAACCCTAAACCCTCAACCCCAAACCCTAAACCCTCAACCCCGAAGCCCCTACAGCCCTTTAAAGGTACCGCCATCATCATGCCCGGCCTGGCCTCCGTGTGTACTTTCGCCGAGGGCGGCCCGGGGGACTTCTTGGAGCCGCTCGGCGGGGCCCTTTTTGGGGCTTTGGGGGCTTGGGGTTTTAGGGGTTTCCCTAAACCCTAAACCCTAAACCCTAAACCCTAAACCCACAAGGATATAACTCCCCTCTACTATAGGGTTATACTATAACTCTGATTAGGAACCCCCACATACTACTTATAGGGGGCCTAAAAAATTATACTGTGCTGGGGGTTCCTTGATATAAGTATATGTAGTGTAATGGGCCGCAAAACCCTATTCTAAGTTTTAAGGCCCCTACATTTCCTTATAATGCATCGTAACCCCATTTGAATCGAACCCTGACTTGGCAACCCTGCGACCCCATAGCCTCGAACTCTATGCCTCCTGATAGCCCGAAGATAGGGGCCTTAATCATTACCTATACTATTTTGGGGGTTCCTTACTATAAGTATATACTATAAAGGAACTCCCAAACCCTATTCTATAAATTTTCAGGCCCCTACATTACGCCCGTTTCGGGGTAGAATAGGAGGGGCCGAGCCAGGCCTAAACCCTAAACCCTAAACCCTAAACCCTAAACCCTAAACCCTACATTAAATGGGACGGGGCGGAGCCAGGCAACAGCGAGCTGCAGGGCTTCTGACGGAAGAGGCCTTCCAGGCTCGCGAATTACCTGCAGTGCGCAACCGGCCTTTTCCTTTTGGGGGCTTTAGGGGTTTCGGGCTTTTTGGGGGTTTAGGGGTTTAGGGTTTAGGGTTTTGGGGTTTGTGGCTTTAGGGGTTTAGGGTTTAGGGTTTAGGGTTTAGGGTTTAGGGGTTTAGTGGTTTAGGGTTTTGGGGTTGGGCTTTCAGGGGTTTTATAGTAGGTAACCAGCCCTGCTTTTGGGGGGCTTTGAAGAAGATTGCCTGGGCGTTTGTAGGCGTTTCAAGGGCTTGGATCAGGTTCTGGCGGGAATTCCAGACCCAGAGACTCCAAAACTCCTGAATTAGGGAATATACCTTAAATTATAAGAGGAACCCTAATAAGATTTAAGGTATATTCCTTAAGTACGGGATATTGGAGTCTTTGGGTAGAGGGTTTTCGTTCCTGAAGAAGGACGGAGTTTCCATCCACCCTTTTGGAACTGCAATCCCCAAGAGGGTTCGGGTTCGCGGTTCAAGTACGGCTTCGGGATGTGGGGTTTAGGGTTTAGGGTTTGGGGGTTTAGGGTTTTAGGGTTTGGGGGTTTAGGGGTTTAGGGTTAAGGGGTTTAGGGTTTGGGGGTTTAGCGGTTTGGGGGTTTAGGGGTTTAGGGGTTTAGGGGTTTAGGGTTTAGGGGTTTAGGGTTAAGGGGTTTCGGGTTCAGGGGTTTAGGGTTTAGGGGTTTAGGGTTAAGGGGTTTAGGGGTTTGGGGTTGGGGGGTTGGGGGTTTAGGGGTTTAGGGGTTTAGGGGTGTAGAGATTGGGTGCAGCGTTTCCGGGTTCGGGTCCCGGGCTTTTGCCATTTGGGGGTTGAGGATTATTAGAGCCTTGTATGTTGAATGAACGATGTACACTAAACCCTATAAGCCCTAAAGCCCCATTCTAAAAGCATTTAGGGCCTTCTGTTGCAAGGTTGTGATAATCAGGTAAGGATGGAATATCGCCTTTGATGGGCCTGGAGTGCTTTGTTTGCGGGCTTTTGCACCAAAAACCACGAGCCCAAAGTCACCACCGCATCCCGAAGTCGCATACCAGTAAAGCCCGAGCCGCAAGGTCCTGGAGGCCTAAACCCTGAGCCCTCAACCGCCAGAGTCATTGCAGGAGCAGAGCCAGCTGTACATCTCGCCGCACGCTTTCAAGGGCGAAAAAGGAGCCAGTTTTCCTGCTGTTGTCAGTGGGAAATCAACCCTTAAACCCTAGACCCTAAAAACCCTAAACCCTAAACCCTAAACCCTCAACCCTCAACCCTAAACCCTAAAACCCGAAACCGTCGGTGTACTTGATGGTTCATGCTCCTGTGTTTCAGCCCGAAGAATCTTGACCCTAAAGGAGCTCATGGAGAGCCTCGAAAGGAGTTTTTGAACCTGAAGCCCTAAACCCTAAACCCCAAAACCTAAAATGTCCTAAAACCCTCACCCTCAGGGCCTAACCTCTCTTCAAGAATTCTTCAGCCCTGACGCCTCATAACAAAACGCCTTCAATCACACACTGCCGGCTGTACCCAGTCTTGAAAGCCCGCGAAGCCCCACAAACCCAGAGACTCCAAGACCCCTTAATTAAGGAATATACCTTAAATTATAATAGGAACCCTCGTAAGATTTAAGGTATATTCCTTAACCCTAAACCCTAAACCCTAAACCCTAAACCCTAAACCCTAAACCCTAAACCCTAAACCCTAAACCCTAAACCCTAGTGAGATTTAAGGTCTATTCCTTAAATAAAGGGGGTTTTGGAGTCTCTGGGTAGGATGAAGGATGCCTGGGGGCCCAGGGTTCCAAGTTTAGAGGTATGGGCCCCTAATATGAAGGGTTTAGGGTTTAGGGTTTAGGGTTTAGGGTTTAGGGTTTGGGGTTTAGGGTTTAGGCATTTCTAGGGTTCCTTAAGGGTACATACAGGGTAGAATAGTAGGTTTTTAAGGATCCCAGGATCAAGGCTAGGGGCCCATGGGTTCAACCTTAGAGGGTTTCAAGCTTCCGTGTCTGAATACTAGTTGAAGTGCTATCATTGTAACTACAACTCTATCAACCTCTCTAAGCCTCGAAAACCTAAGCCCTAAACCCTATAAAACCTTAAAGCCCCAAGCCTAAACCCCAAAGCTTAAAGCCAAGGCCTGCATTACCACTTATTGCCCTTTTGCCACCGTTACCTAAACCCTAAACCGTAAACCTTAGACCCTTCCACCCTCAAACCCTAAACCCTGAACCCTAAACCCTGAACCCCAAACCCTAAGCCCGACACATTAAGGCGGGCTGAACCCTTGTCGCATCCAGGCATCGCCCCAGCGAAGCAACGACCCCAGCCGGGTCTGATGAATCACAGCTTCCTGGAGGAGGAGCCCGAGGTCGCAGAGGGAAGGGTTTGGGGGTTTGGGGGTTTGGGGGTTTTGGGTTGAGGGCTTTAGGGCTTTATGGTTTTAGGGTTTGAGAATTTTAGGGTTTAGGGTTTTAGGGTTTAGGGCTTGGTGGGACTGATGGTTTTATTTTAAGGGTTCGTTTCAGGGTTCTGTATTGGGCTTTGCTGGGTCTGGGTTGAGAGTTTATGGTTCACGGTTTGGGAGTTTAGGGTTCAGGGTTTGGGGTTTAGGGTTCAGGGTTCAGAGGTTAGGGTTTAGGGTCTAGGGTTCGGGAGGGCTTAGGGTGGGGGGGAACATCAAGTTCCCGGGTCGGAGCGAGCTTGCGATCTGAATCTTGAAAATCCTCCGACCTGGCAAATTGTCGGTGGGTCTAGGGTTCAGTGGTTGGGTTGAGGGCTTCTTGTTCAGGGTTTGGGGTTCCGCCTTTACCGTTTTAGCTGCACTTTGTCATCATGCCCAGGCGCGAGATGTGACCACGATCACGTTCCAAACGAGGCTGCTTTTTGCATTAGGACAAGGCTCATCCGGCCCAGAAAAACTGTACTGTAAGCAGGGTTGGGGTTAAGGGTTCAGCGTTTATCAGTCCTAGATGGCCGCATTCAACATTGAAGTCAGCATCCATTGACCTAGTTAACTTGAACCCTTAAACCCTACGCCCTTCAACCCTTCATCTGTAAGCCCCTACACTCCAAACACAAGAAGTCCTGGAAGTTAAGACACTCGGACCTTTCAAGCTCCGATCACTAAAGCTTAACTAGGTGGCAAGTTGGAGAAAACTTGAAATGTAGAGGTACCCATTCATAAATACTTTTCGGGGCCCCCGAACTAGTTCTGTAACCCAAAGACCCCCTAAGGGACACCTCAAAAAGGAACCGAGCCGGAGCCCACTTTCTCAGCTGGTAGGTTCTGGACACGGTGTCGCCCTCGAAAGCCCAGACGGGAGACTTGCCCCCGAGGCCAATGTCGTTAAGTAAGTTTGCGTTGAGAATCTTAGTAGCTGAGTGAGTACACTTTATACACTTTCTGGCATGTTACAATCCCCCATAAAACTGGAAGTTGACACTAACTGGGGCTTATGAACCCAGCAACCAAGGAATGAGATTCAAGCTACCTCCTAGAGGCTTGAGGGTTTAGGGCTTAGGGGTTTGGACGGAAAGCCATCAAGTCAGTGGATAAGGATTGCGTTTCGGGCTTCATGAGTTTGGGGTTTTGGCCTTTGGGTTTTGATCCAAGGCGTCGGGGTTGAGGTCATTCAAGTTCTTGTAGAGTTGTTACAGTGGGGGCCTTAATAACTACGAACACGATTTTGGGCATTCCTGATTATAATTATAGTATAATGGGCCCCCCCAACCGTAATTACAATAGGCTGCTTTAATTATTCAGGCCCCTATATTAGGCACATTGGCTTGCGTGTGTGTTGGTTTGAAGAGTGTGTCAAGTTCGAGAGGCATCAATTACTTGTCCTTGAATCTAAACACAGTATCCGAAACAGCCCCGAAATCTCATGAGTCATTGAGGTCTGTTCTTGTCAAGAGCCACATGCAGCCGATAAGTGCAGTGAGCTTGCAGCAACAGTGGTGCAGGGTTTAGAGTAGAGAATTCGCGATGGGCTTCAGGCTTCGGCGTGAACCCCAAAGCTCAAAACCCGACCCATCAGAAACTTTACTTTGGCTCCCTAAGCCCTAAACCCGAAACCCTAAACCCTAAACCTTGTACTGCAAAAGCAGAAACTCGACCCGAAAGCTTCAAGCCTAAGCGCCTTTGCCCCACAGAAACAGACGCTCAACCCCGAATAGTACCCCCTCCCCCCCAAAGCTCTAGACCCCTCAGCCCTAAACCCGAAATCCTCAACTTAGCCCTACGGTTGATGATATAATTCCTGGATTACCCATCATAAGGAATATACCATAATTCCCATAGTTTGGGGTCCGTACGGTAATGCAGGATGTATACCATCAGCAGTATGTCCTCCCGATAGGAAGCCTTTTCTGGACCGAACGAACGAGAACGACACCGACGTCCTGAACCCGAAGATGCTCCTGTCGCCCGCCAAGGCCCGTTTGGGGAACAGGGTTTCGGGTTGGGGGTTTAGGGTGTAATATAGGGGCCTTACGAATTACCTACACTGTTGTGGGGGGTTCCTTATTCTAATTATAGTATTATGGGCCCCACAACCTTATTCTAATTACTCAGGCCCCTACATTCGAGTTTATTCGAGGTCTCAGGGTTTGGGGCAATTGAGGGCTCAGGGTTCGGGGCCTGGGGTTTAGGGAAGGCCTGACAGCCGTGGGGATATGTCGGCAATTGAGGGGCCTCCAGAAACACCCAACAGCCCCTAGCCCATATCATTGTGTGAGGTATGTCCGACGTAGACTATCGGGAATTGGAGTCAACATCATGCTACGTCATGTCGTCCTTCTCTGAAATCATGCGGAAGAAGACTATCGGGGTTCCAGGAGGTTTGCTTACATAACCGCCGTAAGCCCTAAATCCCTAACCCTAAAATCCCCGAAGCTTGAGCCTCCTGGCAGGTGGAGTTCACAAGCCCCACCAGGATGATCAAAGACCTCGCGCCTACCTCGGGGATTCGTAGGGTCGGTCCTAGGGGACTGCATTTGAGGGGCTATCAGGGTTGTAGCAGTATGGGAGCCTGGAAACAAAATTAAAGGGTAGCTCGGCAAGACGTGTTCTTCGGATGAGCTTTCAAGCACCTTAAGACGAAGTGCGAGCCCAGATAGACTCGTAGTTGTTTTAGTTGCAGCACCTGAAGACTTCGTCTCCATGTCTACTTACTCCTACCCCACAACACATCTTCCAGCCCATGAGCCTCAACAACAGCTTACGAAGCCCAAATCCAGCGAACCAAACAGCTAGGTCAGGGTAGTCATGGCCTTGTCGGAGGCCTCAAGGGCTTGGGGTCCCAGGTCCCCAAAACAAAACCATCATATACGCCCTCAGATACTCGTACGAGTCAGTAACTGTTACCAGTGTCCCAATTTCATGCACTTTATTGCTGACCTCTTCAGACGCTTAACTTTGTCTAAACGCCTGCGAAACCCGCCTAGAGCCCTAGAGCCCTAGAGGAGCTGTTCAAGAACCTTTGCCGCTCTCATGGAGCCTGTATTGACCCGTTCATGATCATACACACTGGTCTCTGTAGGTGTGTTGCGGTGTAGCATCGGGTTCAGGGTTTAGGGCGCGCTGAGGGCACCCCCACACGCGGCTCCATCCTGACGCCGGAAGCTTGTCTGCATGGTGAGGGTTTCATAAGTCCAAGGGCTCTAAGGGTGTGAAAGTGGGTGGGGTAATCCCATAAAATCAGCGTCCGTATATAAGAGATCCTTAATCCTACCTGATTCCCTTCACCTCACCTTTTTGAGGCCTTCAAATAAGGGCTAAGTGGAGTTTTTGAACGGTTTTGGCTGAAAAGCCAAACAGGTTGGTGCTCGAATAAAGGTCTGAATGTTTCGCAACGGTATCCATCGTCTCTTCTAAAAGATCCATACACTATACAGATAAGCCCCTCTATGCACAGCCTAAACGACGCGCCATTTTGAGATCTGAAGTGCTCCCCAAACCCTAAACCCCTAAACCCTAAACCTAACCCCTAAACCCCTAAACCCCGGAACCCCTAAACCCCTAAACTGGTGAGGCTCACCGAAGTGTAGGTCGTAATTTGTGCAAATCCTACCTAGCATAGGGGCCTTTATGATTAGAATAGGGTTTTGGGTTTTGGGAAGTTTTGGTGTATGTTAGACTCTAACTATTAAGAAGGAATCCCCAAAATAGTATTGGTAGTCACTGCAGCTGCAGGGTATTTGTCTGACTTGTCGAGTTTTTTGGCTTTAGAGATTTGGGCTGGCAGTTGTCGAGATTTGAGTTAACTTTGGCTTCAGCTGGCTTTGAGGCCCGCGTTTTAGTCCTCGTTTCTAGGTTTCTTTGTTTGAATAGGCTGCCATAGCAACATTCACCTATCTGCTGCTATAACGGTCCATCTGTGGAAAGCTCAGGTAGGGGACCGAAACACTGACTGCAACCGATGCAGCAGCCATCGAAAATCGGGCAGAGCATAGATGGCAGCACGAAGGGTGCATGGGCCACGTGTCGGATCTGATATGGAGGGGGGGGGGGTCGAAATACGTTGAATGGGCATTCTGGCTCAGAATATGTTCCGGCCCAGGTGCTGCACCTGTCAATACACATACACATGCACGGGGCGAGCAGAAAAATACGGACATCGTGGGTGTGGTGTGTGGTCCGCTTTCGAGAAAACACTCCTTTGAATCGTGAGAACCTTCTGTTTGTGGTGGTCTTCTGACCCCTACAAACAGCGGCACAAGAAGGAGGTTATGGCCTTCGTGTAAGCCTTTTGCAATGGTGAGTTTGTCAAGGACGAAGATCTTAGAGCATAAGCGAGCAACTCTATAATAGTCTAGGATATGCGAAGCTTATTGATATCGTTACTCTTCCTCTGTCCGTCTTGCGCTCTTTCTCTGTCTCCGTGCCTATACATAATTGTGCATGTTTGTATATGTATATACATATATACACACATATTATTGATAGTTTGGGCATAAAGATAAAGATGTAGATACAGATACACATGCAATCAGATACACGTATAGATGTGCACTGTGTACTGTGCACCACACCTGCGTGTCTGTTGTATCTCCAACACCCTAACCGTTCTAACTACGAAGGCCTCTATACTCTTGCACCTCTATGTTGCTGAGGAAAGGCTATCCACTCTGAGCCCGTGTGCAAACGAGGCCTGGCCCGCACAGCCAACTTGAAACCGGGACTGCCTACTAGAAAGCCCGCAGTGTCACGGAAACTGTGGTCTGGGGGTTTCTTGCAACGGTGCCGCAGCAAGACCCTTGAACGGCATCTGTTCAGGCAGTACAGAGGCCAGGTGTTTTCGGGCTTAGGGTTGAGGGCGACAGGGTACAGGGCTGTACGGTTCAGAGCCGAATGTTTCTTTGTCTACTCTTCCCAAGCTAGCGGTATAGGGCCAAGGCTTTTGTTGCTGGATTGCTGCAGGGTTTGGGGTTCGAGATCTCTTTATCACTTCTAGGTTTCCGGTCCCGCAGAGACCTATACCAAGGCGTTCCGTCATAGTTATCGTTATGGGGGACTTCCAGCTACGGGTTTCCGATGCTAAACTCTACATCCTAAACCCGAGTGCGATCCTTTCGCAGCTCGGGTGTTTTGCAGGGCTCCAGTTTTACCAGCTTTTGTTTGGTTGCGGGAAGCGTTTTAGTGGCTCTTGACCGGAGAGTTCGGCTGGAATCGGGTTTACGGGCGACTAGACTCGGCGAAAGTCCCGACGCCAGAGTTGCCCACCACAGCTTTATTCAATTTTCTCCTCACGGTATAGTACCGTGAAAGATGGTGAAAGCATCGGTAAGCATCGAGCCCGAAACCTTTCACGAAGCTTAACCTGACATCTACTAGCCGCTTTATTTCCACTCCAGCATTCTATCAATCTCGAGATGGTAGCAGTAGCAGTAGCAGTCGTACCAGTAGCAGTGCTGGCGATGGTCGTGGGCTCTAGTTAGAGAGCGTTCGATTTGACAGTTGAACTTGGTGGTGTAATTATCGGGCGTCTGGCGTCAGCAGGCTCTTGTCCTCGCGATTCTCGCGCCTTCTGTGGCTCGGTTCTGCTAGGCTTTGAGAGTTTGCCTCAGCGCAGCGGTTGAGGGATGCCCATTGTTTAGTGAGCTCATTTCTTTCGAATGCAGATGACTGAGACATCAGTCGAGATGTGAATGTTAGCCAACCAGATGGTGTTTGACGAATGGCGCAGAGGTCACGAAACACGTTTGCACAGCACCTGCTTCCGTGATCACTGCAGTTATTCGCTCATGCTCATGAATTGGTACTACAGTGGGGAAGCAAACTGACTGTTGTGTTTGTTTGCTTCCTATCGCGGCTACCTCCTCCTTGACTTAGGGGTGGGAGATCTTCCTTGTGCAAACGATCCCTTAGATTTTCCCGCAACGGGTCGATCTCGCGAGAATCATCGGACGATAGCAATTGGAGCGACAACATTGGCCAAAACTGGTCTGAACTTGACGGCCTGCCATAATCAGAAAGACGCATTGCAGGCGCTCCAGTTGCTGTATTATAATGATGGCGAGTGTTCCACGTTGCGCAGCATGTAGATGCAGCCAGATTCGATTCGCCTGCCATAGAGCATGTAGATGGTTCAGTTTATTGGTGATATTCATTGTGCATATGCCGCATGTACTACGCCAAGTATAGTCCGGGGTGGACCGGCTTGCCGTTATGGACACATGCCATCAACATGACACATCTCTCCCGAAGTCGCTGTGTTGTTCCAAAGTTTCCACGGGAGGTAGTGGGATAACGGAGGGAACTTCACTCTGCGAGTTTCATGTAAACCCCCACAGACCAAGGCCTTCAGGACTAGCTCCCGGCCAGAGCAGCAGCTACAGGCATTGGTACACCAGCAGCTTCAGTCCAACTACAAATACACATTTACACATTTCAAAGAGCCTGGGGCATGACCAGCCGCGGTGACTTTTGTAAGGCATGAAAAACACATCTGCTACAGACCCTGAAGCAGAAATCTTTCGCCGTGCGGAAACCAAAAAAGCAGTTTCAGGGAAAGGAAACCTTGAAACGCGGAGCCGACACCATTTCTCCCCGGAGTCCCGGAAGAGCACCTCGGAAAGGAACTCCTGCTCTCTGGCGGTATTTGGAATCCTGGCAAAACAGCCCAAGACCGAGACTTCTAACCCTGGCAGTCTGACTAATTAGGAATTAAAGTCTGCCCCTAAAGCATTAAAGCATTTCTTTAGGATCTTGACAGGCTCTAAAAAGATTCAGGGTTAAAGGGTGCTTGAATATTTAATAATAGCGTCTCCTGTGTCCTTCCCATTTGCTTCTATTAAAGTTTGCTTCCCAAACCCTCTCTTTCAAACAAAATTACGTAGACCCTAAACTACAATTCCTTTAAGCCCCTACCTTCAAGAACATTCGGGAGGTCAACACTTTGAGTACTGGGACGGACATGAAAGTGAAGACGAGTCCTCCTCGCAAGGCCGGGATCTGTTCGTTCGTTCTTCAGGCTTTGGGTGTTCAGTTGTTCAGAGTTCATAGGGTTTGATTCGAACTTTGCAGTTGGGATTTCGCAGGGTTTAGCAACCCTGAACCTAATGACCCTGAACTAGGTTTCGGGTTCGCAGCGGAAGTTTGGGGGCGAAGGTACACATATTGTTGGGTTAGTTTGAGGCTGCGGTGTTTAGAACGTTTGAATGGGAATGGAGGGCTCTACGATTTCGGCTTGGAGGTTCAGTGATTTTGAGATCTTTGTTTGAATGGGCTCCATGTACGGTGGCAGTTGAAGGCGAGTCCCGGGGTGAAGTGCCAATATGTGAGTCTGAAGAATCAACTAGATTAATCAGCCCTTTCCGTCCATGTGTGTGTATATGTATATATATATATATGTATGTATTATGTACACTTGTGTTTTGTGCTCGAAAACGCTATGTTAAGTGTTATTCGCATTGAGGCGCCTATATTGGACCTGCATGTTCTCAGCTTTGCGGGGGCCTTTGAGCTTGTAGGGCGAAGCGCTGTGTTCCAAGCAAGCGTTCCTGCGCAAGAAGCCGACTCCTCAAAGGAACTATCAGGATCTGGTGCCCCAAACTCGACTAAGCCCTAAACGCTAGAGGTTGCGCAGATCTTCTTGAAGATGACATGCCTCCAGTAGATACAGCATTTGGCACCAGAGTGTTGGTTTTTGTCGCAGGACTCATACGTTCATCGGTGCATGTTACGTCGCTGCTACGTTGGGCACCCCGAACCCCCTAGGTAATCCAAAAGACTCAACCAGGATCCACGCAAAGCCCTAAACACCTGCACCTCTACACCTCTCGACCCCTGAATCCATAAACACTTAACCTTCTTGGAGCCCCTTCACAGGAACCCCTAAAGGAACACCAAGGAACCCTTAAACCCACAAGCCCCAACCCCCAACGAAGCTTCTATGGGAAAGCTTGTTTGGGAGTTCCGGGATCCGGGAGCCTGTGAAGATGATACTTTTCCGGGACCCTAGTTAAACCAAAAACTCCTCGACTAGAGTCTAGGTCTAGAGGTTTATGGGCGTGTGGGTCCAGGGTTTAGGATTTTGGGTCTTGGCTTTCGGGTTTGAGGTTTAAGATTCCAGTTCAGGGTATAACCAGCCACAGGCTCTGCAGTACAACAGCGCCCA